CATTGGGGACTCACTTAAAAAGAATAGGGACCCAAATGTTGGTCTTGGTGGTGGGGTTAATAACCACTTGACCCAGGGGTTAAGAACCATTGTTTTAACACTATGATGCAATTAAAAAATGCTTTGTTATAATCCCAGCAGCATTTCAGAACTGACAGTTTAGATGAATTGTTTTAAAGAGCACTGTTGACATAATGCCTGACATTGTAAAAAGATTCCCTTGGAATGCATGGCATGCCACTGCAGCAGGGAAGGTGTTAAAGGAAAATTATCTGTATGCACGTATGTCTGAAGCCAGCTCTCCAGCTCCTATCAGGCCAAAGCTTAAAAGCCCTTTTGGCAGGCAAAGCTTTGCCATATCTCTAAATCCTTGAATCTTGATCTTATATCATGATGACTATTTTATCACAAACTCCTTTTGCATCATTGAACGTCAACGTGGAAGTGCACTTAACATTATTATATGTTTTGAACCATACTGATCACATTTACCTACCCCAACAAAAAAAAGAAAAGAAATCCACCCATGGGGAGAATGGAAAGTGTCCCGACAATTAGATAGCTTAATTCCATGGATCTTTGCAAGAGACATGGACCAAAACTTCTCTTCCCTCTACACTAGATGGCACTGCGGTGCCACATGTAAGCTTCTGGAGGTTACTATCCAGAAAACTACATCTGGTTTTTGAACAGGACAGTCATTAGCCACAGGATATTTGGGCTTTTATTTTTTTCCCGTCCGTTATTATTTTGGTTAGTTATTTTATTTTTCACTCAACTGACCTCTGTGAGATACATCTGGCACTCAATGTGTAACATTAGATTTCACCTTGCCTTTTGCTCAAATAAAATGGAAAATATAAAAAAACTTTGAAAAAGAATAGAACACTGATAATTGCCATCTGTTATAAATGAAGACAGACCAGCATCGCGATGTCTTAATGTAAGTATTCAGAGTCTCTTTGATTAAACATTTTTTCAACTATTTATGTTTTTATCAAGGAATGCCAACACTGATGTGAGTGTTCTACGAGTTGCAATGAGCAGCACTGCAGTGCCAGAAGTTCCCTACACTTGTCTTTTATAGATTTTCTTTTTCACACTTACTGAACTGGAAAATGCTAATTTTAATACAAAATATCTAATTTGGAAAAATGTCTCTTTCTCCAGTGTAGCGTTTTTGGCCTAGAATTTACCATCCTCAGTTTTCCACAATTCCAGTTTATTAAAGAAGCTGCATTGTCTCTAATTCTAGGCAGACATTCTTGCCTTAAATGTATCTGTACATATTGTGCTTTCTCACAATATCTGTCCACCATTACACTTAGAGTGCCTCTCTTTTACTTCAATTCTGTATAATAACAATTCTTAATTATCTGTTATCTGGGTTTCACATACTTGACTGTTGTTGTAAGACATACGATTCTGTCAAAACAACCAATTTTCATTTGACTCACCACTTCTCAAGCAGGGATGGAACTAAAAGTTGTATATAATTATATGTAATGTGATTCTAACTACGTAACCGTCACAGCAGAACACGATTTCAATTATACAGACCACGTGGATGATTGTATGGGGACCCTGCAATAATGTATTGGTTTATTCACTAAACATTAAACTGTAGTGAATTGAAATTAAAATGGCAAGATTGAGGCTACCATATCCAATCTGTGATTACAGCAGAATTTGAGAATTGTTTCCAGATCAGTAACTTTAAGCCTATATATTGCCTTTCAGATTTTAGTTTGGTACAGCGAATTATTCTAGAAGCGGTCAGTGAGGATAAACAAACTTAACCCATTAAGAACCAGGGTTGTCTCCAGTGTATTACAAAGCAATGTGTTGATCAAACCTGTGGCTTTTAAAGGGTTAAATCATTTCTTTAAATCTTTTGGGTCATTTGAAGGATCGCACACTGTGATATGCTTCTAAACTTCTGCCTAGTGCGGCTATTTAAATGTAACCTCTTCATAACTACAGTTTATGTGAATATATTTAAAGAAACCCTTTAATAAATTAGCATCACAATTATATATATATATATATATATATATAGCTTTGCATCTTTTCCCAAGTTGTGTTTCAAAGCTGTTGTATAAACACAGACTCATGTTTAAAATGGAATGAGACAAAAATGTGATTCTTTGTTAAACTAATTTGCATATGCCCACCCAGAATCCTTTGCGGTTGTAACATCACTGCAGTTTTGGGATTTCTGTGGGAAAAGCAAGTCTTATGGCTTGACTGGTGTGCAGATCTTTAACATTTTACTGATATATATATATTATGACTGTCAGGGTTTCTTATGATTTTGAAACCGTTCCTTTAAGACGGCACTGACGTACGTAACGCTAGGTTATTTAAAAGTGTCCGCCGTCAGTGCCTCGGGGCGCAATTAATGTGTTAAACTCCATGTTTGCAAACTTCACCTTCCCTCCTTCTCAAGGGATCCCCTTCACATTGACTTTGAGTGTCTCGTCGCCGGAACCTCCCAAAATCCGTCTCTAATTGCTGATTGATCACCTTTTGCCTCTTGGATTACCCCATTTACCTGCTTTATCTCCTGTTGCCGACCATGGACTGGAAAAGACAACCTTATCATTGGGTTATCCTCATTTTATCTCCTGGATTGCCTTGTTGAACATCCATAAAAGGGTGAGTGGTTTTAAATTTGTTGGACATTTGTAAATTAAATCATTACAATGACATGTGCATATTCCATGGGAATAGAACACACAAGGCCATACCTCCACCTACAAGAGAGCTAAAGTCTAGGATGTGAGTGTATATATATCAAGCATCTTGGCTGAATATTGTGCACAGCCGTATTCACAAAACTGATGATCAATACCACATTGACAGAATAACCATTTATTAAGCCTTACAGTTATCTTTTCTGAATGATCATGTTCATAAACTCCTGCTTTGGTTTATGAAATAAGAATGTAAACCTCAAAGACCAAAGTTAGATGCACATTATTGGTTGAGTCTCTTTCTTCTCTTGCGAAGTTCTCTGCAACTGACTTGCCTGTGTGAGTGCAGAAGGTACTGTAAATATTTTCAATTTATTCTGCACATTTTTAATGCACTGTATGCATGAATGTATTTTGTAAAAAAGTGGATTTGCAGTTATTCTTCATGGGACAAATCTGGCCGAGACAACATTACAGAAGTGTTCTGGGAATAGGAATTACGGTGATAATGAGGCTACCCCAGTCTACACACAATTTTACCAACAATGCTATTTATTTTCGTTATCACGCATCTTTTGGGAAATCAAGTGACTTCCACTTGTGCTTCACTTTGCTGGTTATGTAACAAATAGGGATCACCGTGCATCCAAATTTTACAGCTGTAATTGGAAACGGAGTTAAATTCCTGACATATTGCCTGGGATTATAATTTTATTGTATTTTAGTCTGTAAAGCATTTTTAAATGTTATGTATTCACTTCAACAACAGCAGAGGGCTTGCATCTAGAAAATAGCAATACTACTTAATGTATTGTCCCTTTTGAAATCGCTTTAATATAGATTGCATTTTTTTTTTCAGAACAAGTGAAATTTTGATATGCTTTAAAATATTTCTTTAAAGCAAACAATTAGTTAAATACGTACAACAGAAATCAAAATTGTAAATATTAACAATAGCTTCATCCTTTAGCAGGTAAGAGAAACTATTGTTACATGCCTTGGGAAATTATAAATTCTCAAACCTGTTGGTGCATTTGATTATGCATTAAAATGACTAATAATTACAACTGAACAATATGTCGCCAAGCTAAGTTTAAAACTGAAGAAATGGCAAAATGCTAAGGACCTCTGGACTATGTGCTAACCCAGTACTATGTGCTAACCCAGGAGCACACAATCGGTAGAACCTGAGATGGACACCTGCAACTCCTTTTCTAAAGACAGGCAAAACACTGCACACACTCTCATCAATGTTCTGCTAATATTTTTTTTTATTTTATAATCAATCCTAGTTTGGCCTTGCCCCATCACTACCATTTGCTATTCGCCCCACATAGATTTTTCTTTTGAGCATTGAAGTTTTTTTTCAGTTTTGGTATCTGTGGGTCTGTAATATAAAAATAAATATTTTAATAGAAAGATGAGTCCACAGGTCTCAATGAAAGTCTGAGAAAAATTGCATGTTGACCTACGTGCATATGTTGTTATGGTGCTTAGACGGTCCTTTTGGGGATCTCCTAGAAAGAGGCAGGTTACATAGGTGGCTTAGTGATAGGACCACTCACATCTATGTGCACAAATCACAATGTAAATTATGGGAAATTGTCAAAGAACTATAAATCTTAAGACAAAAAAACAAAGCCTAAAAAAAAGTTCCAAATCTGCTATGTGAGTTTTTTCTATTTTTGCCTCTTGTTTGCATTTACTTTGAATTTTCTGAAAAAACACCTCTGCTCAACCTGAGAATAGAATAGAGACAATGGTTGATTATATTACACAATACAGAGATAATGGGACGTGTATACAACATTCATAGTTATTTCGCCAAATTTGAATTGTTGCAAGTTCACAATGGAATTTTAGATTTACAGCCAGAGGAACTGAGATGGAAACATAGATATATTGAATAATATTACCACTTTGTCTATTTAGGTCTTATATATGCAGTTCCCTGGTGATTCCCTGCACATTATCTGATGAGATAGAAGACAAACAGAAGGAGTACAAAAAGTAGAGGGTCTTCGTATTACAAATATGGGTTTGTAAATATTGTAATATATTTTTACTTTAGAAGAAACAATATATTTAGAAGCATGCAGCTTGTGCTTTAAATGGACACTATAGTCACCTGAACAACTTTAGCTTAATTAAGCTGTTTTGGTGTATAGAACATGCCCCTGCAGCCTCACTGCTCAATCCTCTGCCATTTAGGAGTTAAATCCCTTTGTTTATGAACCTTAGTCACACCTCCCTGCATGTGACTTGCACAGCCTTCCATAAACACTTCCTGTAAGGAGAGCCCTATTTAGGCTTTCTTTATTGCAAGTTCTGTTTAATTAAGATTTTCTTACCCCCTGCTATGTTAATAGCTTGCTAGACCCTGCAAGAGCCTCCTGTATGTGATTAAAGTTCAATTTAGAGATTGAGATACAATTATTTAAGGTAAATACATCTGTTTGAAAGTGAAACCAGTTTTTTTTTTCATGCAGGTTCTGTCAATCATAGCCAGGGGAGGTGTGGCTAGGGCTGCATAAACAGAAACAAAGTGATTTAACTCCTGAATGACAGTGAATTGAGCAGTGAAATTGCAGAGGAATGATCTATACACTAAAACTGCTTTGTTTAGCTAAAGTAATTTAGGTGACTATATTGATCCTTTAACCAATATGAATTAAATAATACTGTAGACACCTGATTACTGGACCCATTAAATCTAGACACTAATAGTCAAGTTACGAGATCTCCAATGTGATTAAAGAATTTGTCTAATTAAGCTCTTTTTATTTTAAAGGAAAACTCTACTACCCAAATACAATATAAATCAAAATCACTGTTTAGTAGATATATCCCAAATGAAAACTTGCCTGTATTTATGATGCATTTTTTTTATTGGAGTTTTATCTTAAAACAACTTGCAAAGCCTGCAGTTTTTATGTCTGAAGCCTTTGCAAACCCTCCCATTATAACCCTGCCCAGACTTTCTGTGACTGTCCAATCACAGACTTCTCAATGCAGCTCAATGAGAAATCTTTGCAAAGCAGGTGTTTAGTAAATAGTTTACACTTCACAACATTTACCATGTCTGAAGAGTCACGAATGAAAAAAACAAACTATATATATATATATTATTGTGCATAACTAGATTTTTAAGATATTCCTGTAAATAGTAATGAGGCAATGAGACCCGATTCTGATTATTTATCTGTTAACACACTAGCCTGATCTTGTATGACTTGTCCATTGTCTTGACATAGATAACGATATGTTGCTTGGAACTGTAATCTAAACCACAAACAAAATGTAAACAAAAGAACAATAAATAATAATTCTACTTAGTCTATGTCAGCATAAAAACGTTTTCATTACAAGTAGACTGACTTAAAGATTAACAAAGATAATATATGTTTCTTGTTAGCATTGTAGCCTCCCTTTAACCATATATTCATTTAAAAATGCAATTCGTTTTGATTTGTGCAGAGTAAATGTTATTGACCGAATTCCAAACAAGCCCTACCATAAGCAGTGATTTCTAACAGACCTACTTAATGAAGCAGCTTGTGTGTTAAATTTCTAGTAAACTTGGAGACATTAATAACACAAAGACCCCTGTTTATATAAACTTTACAAGAAGGGCCATCACACAATATAGCATTTATGTGTATTTTTATAGCATCAAGCTGTATTATCCTAGAAAACTAAGTGGCTGCTTCCACGGATCTCATTGTATATCTGCCAGAATGATAAAAACAACACAGAAAGTGACTGACAGTATGCGACACTACATAATTTATAAAACTAATAATTCCAAGGTTGTGTTTAACTATAACCGGGATATAAATTTACGTTTGAAAAGAACATATTTTATTTTTTATTTCCTTTAATTTAATGTTTTACATACAGAACAGCAATCTATGCATTTTGTAGACACTCCAGAATGTATTTTACCTATCCTATTTTAATAATATATACAGGGAGTGCAGAATTATTAGGCAAGTTGTATTTTTGAGGATTAATTTTATTATTGAACAACAACCATGTTCTCAATGAACCCAAAAAACTCATTAATATCAAAGCTGAATATTTTTGGAAGTAGTTTTTAGTTTGTTTTTGGTTTAGCTATGTTAGGGGGATATCTGTGTGTGCAGGTGACTATTACTGTGCATAATTATTAGGCAACTTAACAAAAAACAAATATATACCCATTTCAATTATTTATTATTACCAGTGAAACCAATATAACATCTCAACATTCACAAATATACATTTCTGACATTCAAAAACAAAACAAAACAAATCAGTGACCAATATAGCCACCTTTCTTTGTAAGGACACTCAAAAGCCTGCCATCCATGGATTCTGTCAGTGTTTTGATCTGTTCACCATCAACATTGCGTGCAGCAGCAACCACAGCCTCCCAGACACTGTTCAGAGGTGTACTGTTTTCCCTCCTTGTAAATCTCACATTTGATGATGGACCACAGGTTCTCAATGGGGTTCAGATCAGGTGAACAAGGAGGCCATGTCATTAGATTTTCTTCTTTTATACCCTTTCTTGCCAGCCACGCTGTGGAGTACTTGGACGCGTGTGATGGAGCATTGTCCTGCATGAAAATCATGTTTTTCTCGAAGGATGCAGACTTCTTCCTGTACCACTGCTTGAAGAAGGTGTCTTCCAGGAACTGGCAGTAGGACTGGGAGTTGAGCTTGACTCCATCCTCAACCCTAAAAGGCCCCACAAGCTCATCTTTGATTATACCAGCCCAAACCAGTACTCCACCTCCACCTTGCTGGCGTCTGAGTCGGACTGGAGCTCTCTGCCCTTTACCAATCCAGCCACGGGCCCATCAAGACTCACTCATTTCATCAGTCCATAAAACCTTAGAAAAATCAGTCTTGAGATATTTCTTGGCCCAGTCTTGACGTTTCAGCTTGTGTGTCTTGTTCAGTGGTGGTCGCCTTTCAGCCTTTCTTACCTTGGCCATGTCTCTGAGTATTGCACACCTTGTGCTTTTGGGCACCCCAGTGATGTTGCAGCTCTGAAATATGGCCAAACTGGTGGCAAGTGGCATCGTGGCAGCTGCACGCTTGACTTTTCTCAGTTCATGGGCAGTTATTTCGCGCCTTGGTTTTTCCACACGCTTCTTGCGACCCTGTTGACTATTTTGAATGAAACGCTTGATTGTTCGATGATCACGCTTCAGAAGCTTTGCAATTTTCAGAGTGCTGCATCCCTCTGCAAGATATCTCACTATTTTTGACTTTTCTGAGCCTGTCAAGTCCTTCTTTTGACCCATTTTGCCAAAGGAAAGGAAGTTGCCTAATAATTATGCACACCTGATATAGGGTGTTGATGTCATTAGACCACACCCCTTCTCATTACAGAGATGCACATCACCTAATATGCTCAATTGGTAGTAGGCTTTTGAGCCTATACAGCTTGGAGTAAGACAACATGCATAAAGAGGATGATGTGGTCAAAATACTCATTTGCCTAATAATTCTGCACTCCCTGTAATAAAAACAGAGACAAAAAATAGTGCTCTCTGTATATAAAAATAGTTCTGTTTGTAAATAGGAGGGAATGTACGTACTATTATTGGAGCTTGTTGGAAACAGCGTGGGTGGTGCAATCCCCACCTGGGATATGTAAGGACAAACAGAGAAAAATAGAGAAAAATTCCAGTAGGAGACTTCCAGATAATAAGTAAAAACAGGACCAAATAAAACAAATTTGAATGGTTGTCTCCACGTTTATATATTCCATGCGAGATGCACACTCTCTGGGTACTACAGAACAATCTTGTACTCCTACCAAAGCCGTGATTGATCATCCACACCATATCCCGTGACAAGGATTGTATTGTCAAATACTAATATCTGAGAGCTAATAGATAGCTCCAGTTTTGTGAGTGCATTTTCAGTATTTTTTTTTATTTTTTCCTTTGACGCATACAGTATTATGCTATTCTGTTTTTCCTATTTTTTTATTTCATATTACGGAACTGCATGTTACCCTCCACAGTGTTTGTGTTTTGGATGTAAGCGCTATTAAAACAAATGTATATTTTATTTCTTTGTTTATTGGTATGTACTGTATACTATGTATTGTAAAGAAGGGCCAGGCTGGCAATCTCTTTTTATATTTGTTATATTGCAGTTTAGAATGAAATCTCCTAGTGGGAAGCTATTTCTGTCCTGTACAAACAATGTATTACGTGTGTGGGTGCACATAAAGAGAGACTGTTAAATTGTGGAGGAACAAACACAGAGCACAAGTTCTAGTTTCTGTTTTGGTTTAGAATTTGGACATTCCCCTCAGTCTGTAACGGGTTGGTATAGAAACATTGGATGTGACATGTTCGAGTTAAATCTGTAAAATGAAAATTCATGCTGTATAAAGTCCAATACCACATTATATAAGTCCAGAGGTACGACCCATTTCCCCTTTGTTTTATAAAATACAGGCAATATTTACAAATATTACTAAACCCAACTCCAATCAATACTTGAAGACATATTGACTGACAGGAACAGTCGTAATGCTAAAAATGTTCCCACGCTCGTTATACCAGGGGAGGATCCTTACTGTGTCCGAGATATACCAGGGCCGGGCGGGGTTACATAATACGTATATATTTATGGAGCTTCTGCCTCTTGTCTCAGACTCTCTGACTATCAGTGTCAGACTTTCTCCATCCCGGTTACATTGTATCCAGAGCCAACTGCAACCAGCAACTCTCATCATGGACCTCACACTGGGTAATGGGGGGCACTATTATATTGGGGTTCTCACACTGGGTAATGGGGGACACTGTTATATTGGGGTTCTCATACTGGGTAATGGGGGTCACTATTATATTGGGGATCTCATACTGGGTAATGGGGGGCAATATATTGGGGATCTCATACTGGGTAATGGGAGAAACTATTATATTGGGGTTCTCATACTGGGTAATGGGGGACACTATTATATTGGGGTTCTCACACTGGGTAATGGGGGGACACTATTATATTGGGGTTCTCACACTGGGTAATGGGGGTCACTATTATATTGGGGTTCTCACACTGGGTAATGGGGGACACTGTTATATTGGGGTTCTCATACTGGGTAATGGGGGTCACTATTATATTGGGGATCTCATACTGGGTAATGGGGGGCAATATATTGGGGATCTCATACTGGGTAATGGGAGAAACTATTATATTGGGGTTCTCATGCTGGGTAATGGGGGACACTATTATATTGGGGTTCTCACACTGGGTAATGGGGGGACACTATTATATTGGGGTTCTCATACTAGGTAATGGGAGACACTATTATATTGGGGTTCTCATACTGGGTAATGGGGGACACTATTATATTGGGGTTCTCATACTGGGTAATGGGGGATACTATTATATTGGGGTTCTCACACTGGGTAATGGGGAACACTATTATATTGGGGTTCTCATACTGGGTAATGGGAGACACTATTATATTGGGGTTCTCATACTGGGTAATGGGGGCACTATTATATTGGGGTTCTCATACTGGGTAATGGGGGATACTATTATATTGGGGTTCTCATACTGGGTAATGGGGGATACTATTATAT